AACATTTTCAAAGACAGACCACAGGATAGGACACAAAACAAACCTCAAAAAATTCAAGAAAATTGAAATCATACCAAGCATTTTCTCTGACCATAAGGGACTGAAATTGAAAACCAACCCCAAGGCAAAAAAAAAACCAAAACACTCAAAATCATGGAGATTGAATACCATGCTATTAAACAATGAATGGGTCAAGAATGAAATTAGGGAAGAAATCAAAACGTTTCGGAAAACTAATGAAAATGAATTCACAACAACCCAAAACTTATGGGACATGGCAAAGACAGTTCTGAGAGGGAAATTTATAGCAATACAAGCCTACCTGAGAAAGATAGAAACATTTCAAACAAACAACCTAACCCTATGCCTACAAGAACTGGAGGAACAACAACAAAAACAGCCCAGAGCAAGTAGAAGGAAGGAATAACCAAGATCAGAGAAGAATTAAATGACATAGAGACTAAAAGCACAATTCTAAGGATGAATGAATCCAGGAGCTGGTTTTTTTTTAAAGATAAGCATAACTGACAAGCCATTAAGTAGGCTCATCAAGAAAAAAAGAGAAAGGACACTAATAAATACAATCAGAAATGAAAGAGGAGAGATTACGACTGATACCACAGAAATACAAAGGTTTGTAAGAAATTACTATGAAGAACTGTCTGCCAAGAAATCTGAAAACCTAGGTGAAATAGACAAATTTCTGGAAAATATAATTTTTCAAAACTCAATGAAGAAGCAGAAAGCCTGAACAGACCAATAATAGCAGATGAAATTGAAGCAGTAATCAAAAAAACTCCCATCACACAAAAGCCCTGGACCAGATGATTTCACAGAAGAACTTTAGAAAACATTTAAGGAAGAGCTAATCCCTATCCTTCATAGACTATTCCAAAATATTCAAAATCATGGAAGACTCCCAAACTCTTTTTATGAAGCCAGCATCATCCTAATTCCAAAACAGATAAAGACACAACAAAGAAAGAAAAGTTCAGGTCAATATTGCTGATGAATATAGACACTAAGATCCTCAACAAAATATTGGGAAACCGCATCCAACAATACATTAAAAAGATCATACAGCCCTGGCTGGTATAGCTCAGTGGATTGAGTGCGGGCCTATGAACCAGACAATCATGGTTCGATTCCCAGTCAGGGCACATGCCTGGGTTGCAGGCTGGTTCCCTGCAGGCCAGTTTCCAGCAGGGGATGCATAAAAGGCAACCATACATTGATGTTTCTCTCCCTCTCTCCTTCCCTTCTCCTCTAAAGATAAATAAATAAAATTTTTTAAAAAAGATCATACATATGACCAAGTGGGATTCATCCCAGGGATGCAATTCCTGTATTCGCAAATCAGTAAATGTAGTACATCATATAAACAAAAGCAAACACAAAAATCACATGATCATATAAATAGACGCAGAAAAGCATTTGAAAAGGTATAGCACCCATTTATGATAAAAACACTCATCAAAGTGGGAATAGAGGGGGCATTCCTCAAGATAATAAAGGCCACAGATGAGAGACCTACAGCCAACATCATACTCAATGGGCTAAAACTAAAATCTTTTCCATTAACATCAGGAACAAGACAAGGTTGTCCACTTTCACCACCTGTATTCAATATAGTATTGGAAGTTTTAGCCACAGCTATCAGACAAGAAAAGGAAATAAAAGGCATCCAAATCAGAAAGGAGGAAACAAAACTGTCATTGTTTGCAGATGACATGATAGTGTACATGGAAAATCCTATAGACGCTACCAAAAAACTGCTCAACCTAATAAATAAATTTGGCAAAACAGTGGGATACAAAGTCAATATCCAGAAATCAAAGGTGTTTTTATATACAAACAATGAAACAGCAGAAGCGGAAATTTTAAAAATCCCATTTGATATAGCAAAAAGAAAAATAAAATACCTAGGAATAAACCTAACCAAGAAGGTAAAAGACCTGTATGCAGAAAACTACGCAACACTGAACAAAGAAATCAAGGAAGACACAAACAAATAGGATCATATACCTTGTTCATGGATTGGAGGAATTAACATCATCAAAATGTCCATACTACCAAAGCAATTTACAGATTCAATGCAATATCTGTTAAAATACCAGTGGCATATTTCACAGACTTAGAACAAACACTTCAAAAATTTATATAGAATCGTAAATGACCCCTAATAGTAGCTGAAATTTTGAGAAAGAAGAACAAAGTAGGAGGGATCACAATACCTGATACCAAACTGTATTACAAGGCTACAATAATCAAAACAGCCTAGTACTGGCATAAAAACAGGCACATAGACCAATGGAACAGAACAGAGAGCCCAGGAATAAACCCAACTCTCTACAGTCTATTAATATTTGACAAAGGGGGCAGCAACATAAAATGGAGTAAAAATAGCCTCTTCAACAAATGGTGTTGGGAGAACTAGACAGCTATGTGCAAAAAAAAAAAAAAAAAGAAACTTGAGATCCAACTTACACCATACACCAAAATAAATTCAAGGTGGATAAAAGACTTAAATATAAGCCGTAACACCATTAAGGTTCTAGAGGAGAACATTAGCAGGAAAATCTCAGATATTTCACGCAGCAACATTTTTACTGATATGTCCTCTATTAGCAAGAGGCATAAGGGAAAAAATAAACAAATGGGATCTCATCAAAATAAAAAGCTTCTGCATGGCTAAAGAAAACAATATTAAAATAAAAAGAGATCCAACTATATGGGAAACATACTTGCCAATGATACCTCACGCAAGGGTTTAATCTCCAAAATATACAAAGAACTTACATGACTCCACTCTAAGAAGACAAGCAAACCAATTAAAAAGTGGGCAAAGGCCTTGAACAGGCAATTCTCCAAGGAGGACATACAGAGGATTCAGAGACATATGAAAAGATGCTCATTATCTCTAGCTATCAGGGAGATGCAAATTAAAACCACAATGAGGTACCACTTTTCACTGGTCAGAATGGCCATCATAAACAAAGCAACAAACAAGTATTGGAGAGGGTGTGGAAAAAAGGAGAGCCTAGTTCATTGTTGGTGGAATTGTAGACTGGTACAACCACTATGGAAAACAGTATGGAATCTTCTAAGAAAACTAAAAATGGACCTGCCTTATGACCCAGCAATTCCACTGTTGGGATTATATCCTAAGAACCCTAAAACACCAATCCAAAAGAATCTATGCACCCCAATGTTCAGAGCAGCACAATTTACAATAGCCAAGAGTTGGAAGCAACCTACGTGCCCATCAGTAAATGAATGGATCAAAAAACAATGGTACATATACACAATGGAATTCTATGCAACAGAAAGAAAGAAGGAGCTCCTACCCTCTGCAACAGCATGGATGGGACTGGAAAGCATTATGCTGAGTGAAATAAGCCAGGTGTTGAAAGACAAATACCATATGATCTCACCTTTAACAGGAAGCTAAAGAACAAAACAAACAAGCAAGCAAAATATTACCAAAGACACTGAAATAGAGAACAGGCAGACAGGGACCAGAGGGGAGGGTGGAGGGAATTTCAGAGGAAAAGGGGAAGGATTCACAGGAACAAGTGTAAAGGACACATGTACAAAAACTAACAAGGGTGGAAATGGGAGGGAGGTGGGGAGTGCTGTGGGGTAGGTGGACTGGGATGGGAGTAAAAGACAGAAAACTATACTTGAACAATAATTAAATAAAAAATAAATTAAAATTTAATGGTTTTAAAAAACACAGAAAATAACAAGTGTTGATAAAATATGTAGAAAATTGGAAGCTTTGCATACTATTGGTGAGATTTTAAAATGGTGCAGCCAATATGGAAAATAGTATGGAGGGTCCTCAAAACAGTAAAAGTAGAACTACTATTGATATATGATCCAGCAATCCTACTTATGGCTATATACCCAAAAGAACTGAAAGTAAAGTTCAAAGAGATATTTGTATACTGATGCTCACAGTAGCACATTTCTTAAAAAGTCAAGATGTGGAAGCAATACAAATTCATACAAGCAGAAAGTAAAATGGTGGTTACCCTTGGCTAGGGGAGAAGGGAAAATGAAGCTGTTGTTAAAGGGTATGGAGTTTCAGTTTTGCAAGATGAAAATGTTCTGGAGATTGGTTATACAACAATACCCATGTACTTAATACTGATGCAGAAGATGCTAAATAATGAAAATAAACAAACCAATCTCTCGAACACTTGATAATTTTACAATGATGAGTTAAGACTATTCTAAGAATAAAAGATTATATAATGTTTCAAAATCTAGAACTTAAAAGCAGGAAGCAAAAGAAAATGTGACTTCAGAATAATGAAGAATTTCTCTGAAAAGTGATAAAAAAGTACAAATGAAAAAAAAAACCCTTAAAATTTGACAATAAAATTCAGAATTTCTGTTCACCAAAACACACCATAAAGAAAATATCAAGTCAAAACAAAAAAAAAACTACTGCTGCTATAGGCATTTAAATAGCACAATCACAAGATACACAAACACGGAAGCACTAATAAATCTTTATATAAATGTTTGACATATACAAGAAAATTCAGTCATACTATTTATAATTTAAAATAAGTTAAATCAAATTACATTTTTAAAAAAGGTAAAGGAAACAACCCAAATATACACTAACAGATTACTCTGCGCTGTGTACTTTGTGTACAGCGACTGTTTGTACACACTGGGCAAAGTCAAGGACTAACAGGCAATTCTGGGGGCAAAAGGGAGTTACAGAAGGAGCGACTCTTCCCAAGAGTGAGGATCTTCGTCCTCAAAGTGCTCGCTCAGTCGAGTCCGATTGTTTCTGAATCCTTCCAGAACGTGAAAGGCACAGCAGAGCGGTAGTCAGTGTCCTAGCGAAAACGTGACTCTATGAATTTCCGGGAAGTGTAGTTATTCAGCAGACGATTGCTGCCGTGACAGCCCGGACACAGGGAATTTTGGGAAACATATAGTCCAGGGCAAGTGGGCACCAAACACTCAGGCCCGTTCCAGCTGGACAACGTGGCAGCTGGGTTTTAGATGAGGGGAGCCCTTCTGCTGAATAAGGTCAATTCTTGGTCGGCATCAGCCATCCCCACCCCTGTCCACGAAGAAGAACCTCCGTGCGAGCAAATGACCGAAGACCTTTTGCCGCATAATTTTCTGGGAAGTGTAGTTTTGTGGTTCGGACGCAATGGTCCTTACAGCAGTAGAGGGTAGCAGAGTTCACCGGAGGTTAAATTTTTGTTTTCTCCTGACTCCGCCAGAGTCTCCGGGAGCCACTCAGCAACTAGAGCTTCCGGCTGGGTAGTCTCGCAGAAAGTCCAGGCTGAGACCACGTGGGGCCGCAGTAACTGCTGGGAAGTGTAGTTTTGCTGGCGGTGACAGAGAGAGGCTCTGGTAACTAGTGTCCCTGACTTGGGGAGCCTGAGATCTGCCGCTGTTCCGTGGAGTAATCCTGGGCCAGGCGGAGTTCTCCGTCCTGAAAGCTGAGAAGACTCTCGGCAGTGCAGTTCCCGTAAGGGGGGCGCCCATTGTCCACTCACAGCTACCCGGCGCATCGGGCAGGCGGATTTGGGGTTGCTTGGGTGCCGGGAGGACGGCCCGTGGGCCTCAGGCTAATGGCACTGCATGCTGGGCACGGCCCGACACCTTGCTGTGCTCGAAGTCTTCTCCTTGGTGTGAATTGTGGTAGGGTCTTAGCTTTCTGGGCTTCTCTGCCTTGCTCTGTAAAAGGGACCCCAGGGTGGCACTTACTTGACAGAGCTTGTGAAAAGAAAATGGGCGAATGAGTGTAGAGTACAAACTGGAAGAAAACGCCATCTACAGTTGTTTTTGTTATCCAGTGATGAAGCTGACACTTTCCAGTTGTGTAACCTTGAACAAATTGCTTCAAAATGCCAAGTTTCCGTTTTCTCATTGTTTAAAAAAGAAATCTGGAATAATATGAATGCCCACCATGCACAGAGTAGTGAAGATTAATTAAGCTCATATTTAACATTACTAGTGTTGTTTTATGAGTTTGTCTCAAGTATATAAACTTTGATTTACATGCAGGTGGCACCTGGTAAATGGTTAGTTACCTCATGCCAAGGAACACTGTTAGTTCAGGGAAAGACTGGAGCCCTAGAAAATGATTCCCCTTGTGCCTTTCCATGCACGTGTGTCTCAGAGCTGCAAGATAAGCCTGATTTTTCAGGACTGTGTTTTCCTGTTCTTAATCTTTCTCAGGAAAGTCCCCTCCTGTTAGACAAGAGCCTGGAAAGAGGACTGTGTTGACTATTGGAAATTGCAAAGTCATGTTCCAGGTAAGTATGTCTCCATATCTTCCTGAAACACTTTTTTTTTCTAAATCAGGACTCTTGAGCGTTCGCTTTCCTTGTCCTTCCAGTTTCCTCCTAACAAAGTGTATTTAGGGACAGGATCTATGATTCCTCTCATTGTAGCAAAGGATGGAGCCTGAAGAACTCCCAGGTACTATGTTCTCTGTTTTTCCTCTTTTCTCCCAGTTTTCTGCTAGAAGTCTCCATAGAGTCTTGAGCAAAATTTTTAAAAATTACAATTAAAGATTCAAGTTGGGAATTTTAGGTTATTTGCTTTATGGTTGTTAAGGTTGTATCATGTGGTCTCAATTAATGGTATATCATTTCTTTTAGTTATTAAGTCGATAGATGTTTGGAGTCATCTTGTTCCTCCCTTTCTGTTATAACTCACAGTCAGACATTTCAGTTAGTTCTAAAATATATACAGTATATATACAAAATCTGATCATTAGTTACCCCATCACTGCCACCCTGGTGCAAGCCAACCTAGATTATTGCAGTAGCCTCCTAGTGGGATTCTCTGTTTCTGCCCTTGATCCTCTTCAGTCTTTTCTCAGTACAGCTGTCACAGTGATTCTCTTATTATTTAAAATGCTGTTATTTCTCAGCTTAGAACTGTTCACCTAATTCAGAATAGAAGTCAGAGTTCTGTAGTGACTTAAAAAGCTCTGTACTATTAGACTGTTGATTGCCTCTCTGATCTTATCTTTCCTTGTCTCCTTGTTCCCTGTGGGCTCCAGCCACACTGGCTTACAGCCTCCAGGCCTTGGAAGTTACTGTCCTGTTTGGAATATTCTTTCCTCACATATGCACAGTCTGGCATTCTTACCTTCCTTGTATCTTTTCTCAGTAAATTTTACTTACTTTCTCAGTAAAGCTTGCCTAAACACCTGTTTAAAATTGTCAGTGACCTTTCAACTACCACTTTCACTCCTCCATTACTGTTATTGTTTTCCATAATACTCACCACTCAGTAGCTGTCACTGTGTTTCATGAATATATATGCTCATGGTTTGTTTCCTCCCATGGGGAAGGTTTTTTCCCCCCCTATTTGTTTATTATTTTATCTTCAGTGCCCAGAGTGATACCTGACATAAAATAGATGCTTACTAAATAGTTGTTGAATGAGTGATGAAACAGTGGTGGGCAGAATCATGGGGCAGATGATGAAGCCTGCATAGGAGAAGGTATGAGTGGCAGATGTGCATATTGGGCAGAGTCTGGTTTCTTGGGAGTATTAGATAATTAGAATTGAAAAAAATATTATTTTAAAAGTAAAAGCTAAAGTAAACTGACTGCCAAACTCATTAAATGATTATGTCCTCAACATTTACGTAGTACATAAGGAAGAATCTTACATAGGTTTGGGTGTATCTTACATAGGTTTGACATGCAGGGCTCATGAGCTAGAGTAATACTGTCTAAGAGAATTTTCTTCTATAGTGGAAATAGTTTATATGTGTGCTGTCCAGTAAGGTAGCCATCAGTCCCATATGACTCTTGAGTATTTGAGTTATGACTAGAGTGACTAAGGAACTGATTTTTTAATTTTATTTAATGTTTAATTTAAATTTTTATAGCCAGATGTGGCTAGTGGCTACTGTATTGAATAGTGCAGGACTGGTACAAAAATAAGAAAGTATAAGAAATTAAGATAGGTACCAGACAAATATCTTGAGTTATTCTGGGGACAAAGATAATTGAACATCCCTATCTGCCCATGCAATTGAAGGAGAAGAGGAAGCATCCCAAGAAAAAGCAAAGCTGGAACTGGTTTTTGTCACTCATAGTACCAGGGAGGCAGAGGAGGAAGTGGAGTTATACTGAACTGAGAGGATACCTTGAGCATAGGTGGAGAGGCTTAAGAGAGTTTTTCAAGGAACTGCAAACATTTTCTAAAGCAGTGGTTCATGAGATTTTTGCCCCCCCCACCAACCACACTCATGGAGGACATTTGCTAATATTTAGAAATATTTTTGGTTGTCACAACTCTGCAGGAGGGGAGTTGCTACTAGTGTAGAATGAGTAGAGGTTAGGGATGCTATTGTCACAGGTGGACATAGGTAACAAGGTTCTTGGTGATTGGTACAAAAAATTGAACCGAACACCCAAAGTTTATAGGAGAGAACATGGGAGCAGGCCAACTCCAAGCAGAGATTGACCTCATGGGCTGGAGGGACTCTATTCTTACAGGGTGGATCTTTCCTGGCTAGTTTTGGTGGGCTTTTACTGTGCATGTACAAGTAGTTGTATTACTTTAAAGCTACTGTACATGTGATCTCCAGTGATTTTCCCTGATTGGCCGCCAGGGAAGGGGGTCCCACAATGTTACCTAGTTGATCCCCCCTTCTCCTGGGGTCCTCCTTTACTAGGTTTGCATTTCCCTTCACCAGAGAATTATAGCTCTCCATGTTAGAGATTGGTGAAAAGGAAAGGAATTATTTATTCAAGTTATACAGACTTAAGAGTAATGACTTAATGTCTTCATCAAAATCCCAAAGACCCTTAAAACACCCACAAACACACACTGTCCTTCTTTCCCCCTTTGCCCAGTCGAAGGTACCATATCTCAGGAAAAGAAATAGGAAGCCACGTGGTGGTTCTCTACTCAAGCTGCATGATTCTTCTCATGGCTTCGGGGTGTGGGGGGGGTGGTCCCCTGACTCTGGCCAAAGCTGTGTGGTGATTCTCTCTCACATGGATGCATGATTTCCCATTCTAGCCAAAAGCATGTGGTTCTCTCCTCAAAGGCTGCCACGTCTGCATTTAAATCCCGGGCCAATCTTCCTCGTAGCCCCATTTCCGACTCCTCCCACAATCAGCTACACTTGCCAGGACTTCAGTATCCTCCCAGCTTTACTGGGCTGCCATAGTTAGTGTGGGCAGGCATGGCCCAGTATCGTGGAGCCAATCATCTCCAAGCTCTCAGGCAGGCACTGTAATGGGGTGGGGGCGGGGTTTGGGAGTTGCCTCCCAGTTACATTATGGGTGGAAGTCACTCCTTTCTCACTGGCTCAAAGCAGGGCCATAGCTATTTAACATATCTATGAAACCAGTTAAAAGTTATAGATATGTTTATTGACCATTCCAGAGGTTAATCTGTGAAACTGTTGCTATGCAAAACAACTCAATGGCCCTGCTCCATGTATCCCATCCCCCCAGCTCAGGGGTGAGCCTTGTGGGGGTGAGGACATCCCATATTTTTAATATTTCCTGGACATCCTGAGTTCTGGACCCCATTACAAATCCTTCTTTTAGGGCATCCTCCTGCACTACTAAATATCCTAAAATTCAAAGGACAGCTCTCCACAACATAAGAATTATCCAGCCTAAAATGTAAGTAGTGCCAAGGTTGAAAAATCCTGATCTAACTAAAGAGCAAAGAGTATTAGTTAATTATATTTGACTTTTCTTCTTTAAACTTTTAATACAGTGACATTTATAATGTGTTCAAAATGTTACAGAACAACAGGCTCCCCCTCCCCCCGAGGACAGAATACTAAGATCTCCCTGGCTATTCTGTCTGCCACCAATTGGAAAGACATCGCTCAATGCCAGAGATTTGTGAAAAGGAAAGTAAATGTTTATTTAATGCTATTCAGGCCTAATGCCTCCAGTAAAATATCAAAGTCCTTTAGGGTATACACCTACACACACAGCTCTCCCTTTTCCCACTGTCCCAACTCCGGGTACTGTAAATCAGGAAAAGAGCACACATCCATTTTTCCAGGCTGCTGGTATCATCAGCTGTGTTGAATGTCAGGCAGGATCTCTAGTTAATCCAAAGTCATGTGGCACCTTCTCACAGTCCACTGGCAAGAGTTCTTTATACCCATTTTTCCAGTCAAAGTCTCTCCTGCCTCCTAGGCCACGCAGCCAAAGGGAGCATCCCAAAGCTGCGTGGGCCTCTTCTACCAAAGCTGTAGGGGTCTGCACTCTGGCCAAAACCACATGGTTCTCCTTCTCACCTCACCAAGAGGGGATCCTAACTCTGCTGAAACTGCGTGGCTCTCTCTTACATGACTGCAGGAGTCCTCACTCTGCCCCAAACCGCGTGGCTCTCCTCTCCACCTGGCTGCAGGGATCTCTATTCTGGCAAAGCTGTGTGGTTCTCTCTTTCACGCTGCTGAAACTGCATGGCTCCCCCTTCTACCTGCAGAGGTCTGCACTGTGGCCAAAACCGCATGGTTCTCCCTCCTCTTCACCTCAGCAAGAGGGGGTTTTAACTCTGCTGAAACTGTGTGGCACTCCCCAATGGCTGCCGCGTCTGGGTCTAAATCTCCACACCTATCCTCCTTTGCAGCCCCATTTCCAACTCCTCCTACAATCAGTTACACCTGCCAGTACTCCCATATCATTGCAAGTTTACTGGGCTGCCATCATTAGTCTGGGCAGGTATGGCCCCATGTCGTGGAGCCAATCAACTCCAAGCTCCTATGCAGGTGCTGTAACTCGGGGGACCAACCCCCAGTTTCATCCTGGGTAGAAGTCACTCCCTTCTTCCTGGCTCAAAGCAAGGCCAAAGCTATTTAACATATCTATGAAACCAGTTAAAGGTTATAGATATGTTAAGTGACCATCCCAGAGGTTAGCTGTAAAACTGTTACTATGCAAAACAGCTCTCAAAGGCCCTGGCTCCATTTGTCTTTTCCCCCTGGGGGGCGGGGGATGAGGACATCTTAATATTTCCTGGACACCCTGAGCTCTGGACCCCATCCCAAATCCTTTTTTTGGGGCCCCCCTCCTGGCTGAGCCCTGTTACAAAAACTTAAAATATGAAATAACTTTGCATTGGTGGTGATATGGACACCAGCCTGCAGTGTCCATGTCATTATGAATGAAATAAGACATTCACACAGACTATCGTGTCCAGTGGAAAAAAAGGGACAGCATGGCTTTTTCTTTCACGGGGAGTGAAAGCCTTGGCCCTTTCCATGACCAGCCTTTATTGGGTTTCTCAGCACATTACAGTATTGTCTTCATTTACTATGCACAGGTGGTTACCTTTTACAGAAAACAAAGGAGCCAATGCCACTAATGACAATCACAGAAGAGGGATATTTGCAAAGGCAAAAGTGGTTGGACTGGTTATGCTGGTCCTAGGAAGGTTTAGCATGGACTTTAGGAAGTTATTTTGCAGTAAATGTTTGCCACAAATTCGGGTGAGGGGGTTTTTTAGCAAAAAGCAAGACTAAAAGCAGCCTAGGCATATTGCAGGCCTGATTACCCATGAAGAACTTATCCGTGGGTGTTGGTCCTGTGCATCTCTGAGCTGGAGCTGGGCCCACGCCACGCAGAATGGTCTCCTACAGGTGCAAGAATAAAATGTAGTGTTTTATGCATTTAGCATAGTTAACATAATGTTGGTAAGAGTAAATACAAATGAAAAACAGAATTTTCCCTGGTGCCAAAAGGGAAAAAGATCTTCTCCCTCTGTCTTTTCTTAGAATATTTCCTTGAGAAAAACCTGTCATTGTAAATCCTTTCCTGGTCTCCTTGAGATGCTTGTAAATCTTTTTCAAAGTGAAATAAGACTCTGCCAATTTTACAAGGAAGTAAAGGCTTGCTTAGGTCCCTGGAGCCATCTTTTAGAAATGATGCACCCTTAACTACCTGTTTGTGGGAGTTTAGCCTGGGCTTCTTGCTCCAAGGTCTAACTTTCTACTTGTCATACAGATATGAGAAGTTTTCTTTTTCTTTGGGATAAAGGCAATTAACACAGATGGCTACCATAACTACGAGCTGAATTTAGGATGAGCTGTGTGTCGCAAGAGATGCTGTTAAGTCCTCTCACTGGAGGACAAGTTATTTATTTTGAAAGCATGTATGTAATGATTGTACCTACCTAGCTTTTTAAAAGGGTAAGATTTCTTTCCATCCTTAAAGTCTTCAGACTTAAGGAAATGTAATACACCTCACGGGAAATTAGTGATTTCCCGTGAAGTGTATTACAGTCTGGTTTAATGTTTAGTCAATAATAAAGCCTGTGACTTTCATTTCTACATTTTAGAGATGATTTTCTGCCTGGCAGGTATGGTTTTTAATTATTTCCCCAACACCTGACAAACGTAAATTCCCACTTTAAAATCAAAGACCAGTGTCACTAGTGAACATACATGTCAAATATTCCAATAAAGTAATAGAATACTGACCCACTGGTGGAGTGAAAAATTCACCATAGCCAAACAATGTCTATTTCACCAGTGACAGATATTAATAATGCCATTTTAAATGCATGTTTTTACACATATTACAATTTCACTAACCAATAAGCTATTATTGAACATTTAAACTTTTTCTAAAGTTTTGCTGTTTTAAATATCACCATGAATGAGAACTTTTTGGGGGAAGAAATCTGTTTCCTTAGAATATTTTCCTTGAAATATGCCCTTTCATTCTTTACCTTTACTTTAAGGTCCTATTTAAGGACTACCAATGTTGTGAAACCATCTGTCAGTCTTCTTGCCTAGCAAGTCATAAATTATCCTAAATTATTTTAATTACAAATTGATTTTCAATACAAGGTTTAAGAATATGCCATAAATGTTTGTTTTTTATAAATTAGTTACATATATGTCTATCTCTAATTAAAAATGTCTTTTTTTAACTCATTGGATGATTATTATTTTTAAAGATTTTATTTGTTTATTTTTAGAGAGAGGGAAAGAAGGGAGAAAGATGGAGAGAAACAATGTGTGGTTGCCTCTCTCACACCCCACACTGGGGACCTGGCCTTCAACCCAGGCATGTACCCTCACTGGGAATCAAACCAGCAACCCCTTGGTTTGTAGGTTGTTACTCAATCCACTGAGCCACACCAGCCAGGGCTGGATAATTTTTTTGAACCATAGTGGATCATCATTTTTATTTGTATGTAAGCTATAAAAAACACAGGTAAGCCCTTGACTATGTACTGTCAAATGTTGAATGCTGATTCTTAAAATTTTTTGATTCTATTCCCTTTGACAAAATTAACTCTCCTGAAGCAAAGCGCTTATATTTTCTCTCACCCTTATTGTTCAGCAATGCCAGGAACACAATGATCTTATTATTACTTATTATTACTTAGATTGATTTTTGTTACAATTGCTGATCCTTGTTCCCTTTCTTCTACAACCACGGTAACTTTACCGCTTTTCCAGTGACAGAAGAGGCCTGGGCTACAGTTGAGCCTAAACATGTTTACTATTTCAGGTAACGTTTAGTGATGTGGCCATAGACTTCTCTTATGAAGAGTGGGAATGGCTAGATTCTGCTCAGAGGAATTTATACAAGGATGTGATGGTCCAGAACTATGAGAACCTGGTCTCTCTAGGTAAGCACATTATAATTTGCTTACCTCCACCTCTACCTCAATGGAAGAGATCTTTTTTTTTATCTTCCACTCTGAATTGATGGAAATCTTCCTGAGTAAATGGCTGAATTTCTCTTTCATGTTCCCAAGGAAATGTGTAGCTCTGTTGTACCCTGCCTGAAGCTTACCTTCCTGTTTCAGCAAACATTCTTCCAACCTTCCTTTGGTCTTTTTTGTGATGACGACATCTCTTTCCTGAGGATCACATCTCAAACAAGTTCTGTGTTTTTCCTGTAAGCAGGCCTTTTCATACCTAAGCCATATGTGATCACTTTATTAGAGGATGGGAAAGAACCTTGGATAGTGGAGAAAAACCTGACAAAAGATATGTTTTCAGGTGAGTCATGGTGAATCAGGCAAAAGAGGTCTTTGTTGCAGATGCTTGTAGAAAGTGGGGGGCATTTTAGGATATTTTAGGGAGACTGTCTTCAGAGATTCCCAAATGTAAAAAAATTGAGAAACCCTTAAACTTTGATTTCAAAATGACCATTTGTCCGTCCCAAATTATCTTTCTGTATTACTCATGTCATCTAATCAAAAGGTTTTGCCTTCATGATAATTTACTTTATTTGAAACAAAATAAGGCAAATACTCTTTTAAGTCTACTTAAGAAAAAATATAGTGATGGATTTAAGTTAAGAAAAGCTGTCAATTAGATGGAAAATCACTTTTCCACTAAGGCTGAACTTCAAAGATCAAATGCAAAACATAAGTGTTAAAGGAAGTAAGGAATGTGTAAGAAAGTTTCTAAGAACAGTATTTTCTAATATCCAATAAAATTATCATTTTATACAGATCCTGCAGAGCCATAAAGTATATTTATATTATTTTGTTGTCATTGTAACTGTTTAATGCACTATAAATTCTCCATTTTAAGTATAATAATATGACAGCAAATTGAGATTAATCAAAGGTTGTAGAGTCAAGGTTTTGAGACAAAATGTGTTCTTTCATATAAATATCAGCATAAAACTTTGACTTAGATTCTAGAATGGCTTCTGCATTTTCTTTCTGATGGTTTCATTTTTCCATATACTGCCTGCTCTTCTTTAACCTATATCCCTTATTAGACTCTGTTCCTGCCTCTGTGAGCTATCCATATTCTCCATGCTCTGCTTTAACTTTTTAAAAATATGTTATGTATTTATTTCTCGAGAGAGGGGAAGGGAAGGAGAAAGAGTGAGAAAGAAACATCAATGTATGGTTGCCTCTCATGCGTCCCCTGCTGGGAACTGGCCTGCAACCCAGGCATGTGCCCTGACTGGGAATTGAACCTCGATACTCTGGTTCGCAGGCCCGCGCTCAATCCACTGAGCTATGCCAGCCAGGGCTGCTTTAACTTTTTGTTAGAAATCATTGAATATATCACAGTGGTCAGAAACATGTGTTTTTGAGCTGGGGGAGAGGTGGGACTTTATTTTTATTTATCCAATTCTATTTCTACCATAGAAATTTCCCAGAAGTACAGAAAAGTAGTATTTTGCTTTCTTAATATATTTCAGATTGGAAATTAAGATGGGAAAATGAAGAATTATCAACGAAGGAGAATGTTTATGGTGATGATTCAACCCAAATGGTAATAATGGAGAAAATTATAAAACAAAGTCATGAATTTTCAAATTTTAACAAAGGCTGGGAATATATAGAAAAGTTGGAGGGGAAGCATGAAAATCAGGTAGAACATTTCAGACCAGTTACTCTCCCCTTTAGAGAAAGTCCCACCGGGGAATTATTGGGTTGGCCAAAAAGTTCATTTGCTTTTTTTCTGTAAAGTGGCTTTAGTAGGGGTTAGTTGTCTTTAACTGCATTCAAAACAATTCTATTAGTTTGTACTGTGACAGCTGTCATATCAGTGTTGACTTAAAAAAACTTAAATAGATGAATTTTTTATATCTATTATAATATTGAAGATGGAAGAAAATATGCAACATTTTTGGTATATTACGCTTTATTTTCTTTTTAAGTATATTTTATTGATTATGTCATTACAGTTGTCCCATTTCCCCCCCTTCATTCCCCTCCCCCATGCACACCCCCTCCTCCCCACTCCCCCACTTTAGTTCATGTCAATGTGTCACAAGTTCTTTAGCTTCTACATTTCCCACACTACTCTTGTCCTCTCCCTGTCTATTTTCTACCTACTGTCTATGCTACTTATTCTCTGTACCTGTCCCCCACCTCCTCCTCCCACTCCCCTGTTGCTAACCCTCCATGTGATCTCCATTTCTATGGTTCTGCTCCTGATCTAGCTGTCCTCTTAATTTGCTTTTGTTGTACATGTGATTGTTAATAACTTTGAGTTTGCTGTCCTTTCACTGTTCATCTTTTTTATCTTCTTTTTCTTAGATAAGCCCCTTTAACATTTCATATAATAAGGGCTTGGTGATGATGAACTTGAACTTGACCTTATCTGAGAAGCACTTTATCTGTCCTTCCATTCTAAATGAAAGCTTTGCTGAATAGAGCAATCTTGGATGTAGGTCCTTGCCTTTCATAACTTGGAATACTTCTTTCCAGCCCCATCTTGCCTGTAAGGTCTCTTTTGAGAAATCAGCTGACAGTCTGATGGGAACTCCTTTGTAGGTGACTGTCCCCTTATCTCTTGCTGCTTCTAGGATTCTCTCCTTCATTTTAATCTTCGCTAATGTAATTGTGATGTGCCTTGGTGTGTTCCTTCTTGGGTCCAACTTCTTAGGGACTCTCTGAGCTTCCTGGACTTCCTGGAAGTCTATTGCCTTTACCAGATTGGGGAAGTTTTCCTTTATTATTTGTTCAAATAAGTTTTCCACTTGTTGCTGTTCCTCTTCCCCTTCTGGTACCCCTATAATTCAGATGTTGTAATGTTTAAAGATGTCCTGGAGGTTCCTAAGCCTTTCCTCATTTTTTTGAATTCTTATTTGTTCATTCTTTTCTGGTTAGATATTTCTTTCTTCCTTCTGGTCCACTGCACTGATTTGAGGCCCAGTTTCTTTTCCATCTGTATTGGTTCCCTGTGCATTTCCCTTCATTTCACTTAGTGTAGCCTTCATTTTTTCATCTAATTTGTGACTAAAATCAACCAGTTCTGTGAGCATCCTGATCACCAGTGTTTTGAACTGTGCATCTGATAGGTTGGCTATCTCTTGGTCGCTTAGAAGAATTGGCTCCGGGGTTTTGAGTTGTTCTTCTGCTTGAGTCATAATGTTTTGGTTTGTTCATGCCTGTTACATATAAGGGGCGAATGCTTATGTGTTCACCAGGACTGGTCAACCCAGTCACTGGGTTGTGACTGGGGGCAGGGTCAGAGAGGGGAAAATGGCATTTGTTCTGCTCTCCCTTGGATTTTGGTCCCCTCTGGCACTTCCCACAAGCAAATTAGGCCCTTCTGGTGCTGGTTCCCGGGTGGGTGGGCTTGTATACATTCTAGGACCCTGTGGGTCTCTCCAAGGAACTCTCCTGTGAGGCTGGGAGCCTCTCCTGGCACCTCAACCCCCACAAGTGTTTTCAGTCGGTGCTTTTAGGTTTTATTTCCTGGTGCTGGGGCCCTGTGGTGTGTGGTCTGTCTCACTGTCTGTTTTTTCACCTGGTTTATCTGTGCGTGAATGTGCGACTGTGGTCAGCCAGCTGCCTTGTGCCCTCACTGGGTCTGCCTGTTGCCACCCCATGCCTGGGATCTGCCAACTGCTGCCTGCACTCCTGGGTTGGTCCAGCAGCCACCACTTTTTCCTACTGCTACCCCTCTCTGCTGGCCACTGATTCTGCCCCTCTTATCGGTCTGGATGAATGGTTTGTTGTCGGACTTAAATACAGTTCAATTTTTTGTCTGTTTTGGTTGTGTTTTTGTTTCTAAATCTGTTGTCCTTAATTTTGGTTGTGTGAGGAAGTACAGTGTTTCCACCTATGCCTCCATCTTGTATGGAAGTCCTGCTTTATTATTTCAAGAAAGGTAAAACATAACGGAAATGCAAAAAATGATTTGTGCCATCTATGGAGAAGATGCTGTGACTGATCCAATGTATCATAAGAGGTTTGTGGAGTTTTGTGCTGGAGATTTCTCACTGGACTGATGCTCCACGGTCAGGTAGACCAGTTGAAATTAATAGCAATCAAATCAGGATGCTAATTGAGAATAACCAATGTTATACCATGTTGGATATAACTGATATATTCAAAATATCCAAATCAAGAAAGTTATTGGTGAAAATAAAAAATGTGTCTTTTATTTTATGAAAAACTAAATGAACTTTTGGCCAACCTAATGTTTACAGATATAATACATGTAGAAGTCTTTTCCATTTAAATTTAAAGTCTATTTTTTCTGAATTACAGAGAATTTCTGCTGAAGGGAAATCACATGAACATGACATGTTTATGAAGAACTTAACAAAAAAGTCATGTATAAAAAATGAGAATATCAGTGGTGGAAAGAAACTTTTGAATTCTAATTTAAGTGTGGCAGCCTTCAGCCAGAGCAAATCTCTTATCCTTCACCAGACTTACAATAGAGAGAAAGTCTATACATGCGGTGAATGTGGGAAAGCCTTTGGCAAACAATCAATTCTTAATCGCCACTGGAGAATTCATACAGGAGAGAAACCTTATGAATGTCATGAATGTGGGAAGACTTTTAGCCACGGCTCATCCCTTACTCGACATCAGATAAGCCATAGTGGTGAGAAACCTTACAAGTGTATTGAATGTGGGAAGGCCTTTAGCCATGTCTCATCACTTACTAACCATCAAAGCACTCACACTGGAGAGAAACCATATGAATGTATGAACTGTGGAAAGTCTTTCAGTCGTGTTTCACATCTCATTGAGCATCTGAGAATTCATACTCAAGAAAAACTCTATGAGTGTCGAATATGTGAGAAGGCCTTCATTCATAGGTCATCTCTTATTCACCACCAGAAAATTCATACTGGAGAGAAACCTTACAAATGCAGTGAATGTGGTAAAGCCTTTTGCTGTAGCTCACACCTTACTCGACATCAAAGAATTCATGCTATAGAGAAACAGTTTGAATGCAACAAATGTCTGAAAATCTTTAGTAGCCTCTCATTTCTTATTCAGCATCAGAGTATTCATACTGAAGAAAAACCCTTTGAATGTCAAAAATGCAGGAAATCCTTCAACCAGCCTGAATCACTGAATATGCATATGAGAAATCACACTAGATTGAAACCTTATGAATGCAGTATATGTGGGAAAGCATTTAGTCACAGGTCATCCTTGCTTCAACATCACAGAATTCATACTGGAGAGAAACCATATGAATGTATTAAATGTGGAAAGACCTTCAGTTGTAGTTCAAACCTTACTGTACATCAGAGAATTCATACTGGAGAAAAGCCATATAAATGTAATATATGTGGGAAAGCTTTTAGCAAAGGCTCAAATCTTACTGCCCATCAGAGAATACATAATGGAGAGAAATTCAACAGTGCCATAAGTGTGGAAGAATCTTTAGGTTATATGAATCACTATATGTGTGAAAAATCATGCAAAAGAGAAAGTGTATGAATGCAGCATTTGTTGTAATACAAGTCAGCCACCAATCCTCCCTGATTCAGAATCAGAAGATTTATATTGGAGAAAAGTCTTATGAATGTAATGACTATGGGGAGGTCTTTAGCAATGGAACAAGCCTTATTGTTCAGAGCTCACACTGTGGAGAGACCAAATGAAGGCAATAAATGTGAGAATGCCTTTAGCCAGTATTAATCCCTTAATTGACACAAGTGAATCACACTGTACTTAATGATATATATATATATATCATTATGTACATGATATGTAATGATATATATCCACACACATATATATATATAACAATAAAACAAATTGTGAAAGACATTAGGCAATATGAATTTCTTATAAAAGCATACAAACAAAGCTTATGTATGAAATTTAGCAAAGTGTTCACTAAGTTCTTATTTTCCTAGACATGTAATGTCTAGAGAAACCTGATATTTTGATGCTAGAACTACTTGAAGGATGTAGGAATTATGCATAAATCTTTACAATGAAGCTATTTATAAATACTTTTACAGGAGAGCAAGCAAAAAAGCATATTATAAATAAATATGCATTTCTTATAGCAGTAGCTTGCAATTTTACTTGAGTCCTACATAGAAATTTGGTCATCAAATGAATTGAGTAAATGTTACAAAGTTGCAAATTAAAGCTGCAAAGAAGTAAAAAGTGGTGTGAATAAAATTCTTGGTCTCTAATAAAATCACTTGTATATAATAAACTCACTGTGACATCAATATTTTTTTCAAGATTTTATCCATTCATGTTTAGGGAGGGGAAGGGAGGGAGAAAAAGAGGGAGAGAAACATCAGTGTGTGGTTGCCTTTCATATGCCCCCTACTGAGGATCTGGCTCACAACCCGGGCATGTGCTCTAGACTGGGAATTGAACCAGCAACCCTTTGGTTTGCAGGCTGGCACTCAATCCACTGAGCCACACTAGCCAGAGCACACTGATAATTCTTGCAAAACTTTCTACTGTGTTCGTCTTAAAGAATTAAGATCAGACTTACTACAACCTGTAGTGAGATACTAGCAAACCTAAAGAAAAATTACTCCTCTGCTAAGAATGTCATTATTTTGGTAAGGACAATTCATAGTCTATTTCTAGCTGGATTAATTCACACATTTTGATTTTGTACAATTATTGTAAGAAGATAACCAAGAAACAACACACTATGAAAGATCAGAATAGGCTCACTATGGATATGTATTTCAATGTGAATCCTAAAAAATGAAGACCAAGTATGTAGCAGTGTACAAGCACACACATACTGGGGGTCACTGTAGACAAAGCAGGCAAGCAAGTTCTGTTATGCTTGCTGCAGTTGGACTCTTATGATCCAGTGTCTAGCTTCAAGTTTTATGGTTTCAGGCTATCACTGTTGGCAGCATCATTAGTAATAGCAGTGGTCATTTCTCCCTCCATGAATCATAGTTATAGGGGTTTACTTTGAAATTAATAGAGCTTTCTCCGTTACTTCTCCAGCCCACCCACTTACTTTAAAAGCATTGATTTTCTGCAATATATGTCTTGAAATAAGAGGTTTTGCTTTCTACAGTGAACTTTGAGAGATAATTGTGGTTTATATGGGAGATAGCTTCAAATATACGAAGTTTTATATAAGAAATGGAGTAGTCTTACCGGTCCCCATGGTTTCCTATCTTGTGACTAGAAAGGAACACAGATCAATTATTAAGACTGTGTGGACACTGTTGGAGGTAAAGGGCAGTTTATATTTCAGGTTATGTTCTCTATGGCAGGTATTTCCATGCCTCCTTGAGCAAAATATTTTTCCCTTTGGCCATGCAGTTCCTTCAGCCTAAAATATTTCCCATATTCCCCTTATTATCAAGCTTACTTGCCAGAAAGAGTACTGTTCATGTTTCAGAGTTCACTTGAGGTATTACCCCAGGCTTCCTCAGGTAATAATGAAAAGAATGAGGGTTAAAAAAAAAAGACATATAGAAGACAGTGGCAGACATAAGTTCCTCCTTTCCAGTAATTATTTTAAATATAAATGGATTAAACTCATGAATCAAAAGATGAATATTGGTAGGATGTGTTTAAAGATTTTACTTATTTTTAGAGAGGAAGAGCAAGAGAATAAGAGGGAGAGAAATTGGTTGCCTCTCAAATGCCACCAACCAGAAACCTGGTCCACAGCCAGGCATGTACGCTGACTAGAAATTGAACTGGTAACCTTTTTGTTTACAGGATGATGCCCAACCCACTGAGCCATACCAGTCAGGACTAGAATAGATTTTTAAAAACAAGCCAAAAAACCATGATCCACTATATGTCGTACATAAGACTCACATTAGAACCAAAAACAAATAAGTTTTTGAAAGTGAAAGGGTGGAAAGCTTTTTCATGCAAATAGTAACCAAAAGAGAGCTATGGTGTCTATACTAGTATTAGACAAAAACATGCTTTAAGTCCAAAAAGATTACAAGTGAACTAGAAGGTCATTATATATTAATAAAATGTTCAACATAGCAAGAAGATATGTTATAAACATTTACACATCTAATAACATTCCAATCAAAATATATGAAGCAAAAATTGACAGAATTGAAGAGAGGAATAGACAGTTCTACATTAACAGTGGGTGACTTCAGTACCCCAACTTCAATAATGGATAGCTCAACCACACAATACAAAAAGAAATGGAGGATTTGACTCAATAAACCAACAACACCTAACAGACAACACTACCTCAGAACTGCAGAATACATATTCCTCTCAATTGCACATGGGACATTCTCCAGGATAGACCATATACAAGTATTAATAGATTTAAAAACATGTCATACTAAGTAACTTCCTTGCCAACAACAAGATTAAGCCAGACAATACAAAAGGGAAAACTGGAAAATTCTTATGTGGAAATTAAACTGCACTCTTTTTAAAAAATATTTTATTTTTCTAAAGAGAGGGGAAGGGAGGTAAAAAGAGAGGAAGAGAAACATCAATATGTGGTTGCCTCCTGTGTGACCCTACCTGGTGATCTGCCTTGCAACCCAGACATGTGCCTTGGCTAGGAACCAAGCCAGTGACTGAGAGACCTAGGCAGGCCTAGGAGTAACGGAAAATCACCAGGCAGGAAACAGAACTGGTGGGAACCTGCCTGCCCAGGAAACTGCCTGCTGACCCCACCCAGGACAAACAGATGCTTGGCTAAGATTGAGGTTGGCCTATCTAGCATGGCATAACAGGATGCAGTTTTAACTCCAGGCTGACAAGATGTATCAGGAACAACAGTCATACAGAAACAGCACCCAGCAACCAGCTCTAGCCAATTAGACTCTGATACCCCAACCAGTTATCCTTTGTGGGTTTTTGTGCTTAAAAACTCTGCCCTAAAAACAACCGAGTGAGTCTTAACCTCCCTTGGTTGGCTCCCCAGCCTCCCTTGGTTGGCTCCACTTTCCTCTCTTTTTCCCCACTAATAAACCCTGCCCCACTGTGTCTGTCTGTCTAGTTTCTTGAATGACTTCGACCTAACAGTGACTTTTTGGTTTGCAGAATGGCACTCAATCCACTGAGCCACACCAGTCAGGGCTAAACTGCACACTTAAAACAACTGCTATGGTCTGAATATTGTGCACTCCCCAAATTCTTATGATGAATTCATACTGCTCAATGTGAGGGTATTAGGAGGTAGGGATTTTGGGAGGTTCTTAGGTAATGAGGGTAGAGTCTTCATGAATGGGATTAGCTTTCTTATAAAAGAGACCACAGAACTCCAGCACCTTTATGCCATGTGAGGATAAAATGAGAAATTTGTAACGTGGAAGAAAGCCCAACAATGCTGACACCTTGATCTCAGACTTCCAGCTTTAAGAACTGTGAATAATAAATTCCAGTTGCTTATAAGAAACCCAACCTTTGGTATTTTGTTATAGGAAACTGAATGGACTAAGACAACAATCATTGGGTCAAAGAAGAAATCACAAATTAAATCAGGAAATACTTAAAGATTAATGAAAAGGAAAACACAACTTAACAAACTTTATGGTATACAGCAAAAGCACTACTAGGAGTGAAACTTAAGAGCAGTAATTGCCTACATAAAATGATCAGAAATCAATAGCATAACTTCACGCCTTCAGGAATTACAAAAGAACAAACTAAAAGCTACAGATGGAAGGAAATAAGAAAAAAAACAGAGTGGAGATATTTAAATAGAAAACAGAAAAAAAGAAAATAAAATCAAAAGGTAAATAATTGAAAAGATTGAAAAAATTGATAAAACTCGATATTTTAGAGGATACAAAGATGAGGATGTTACAGAACAAGCCAAGGGCGGGTACAATATGCTATTTCCAAAAGGATCCCCAGGTTCGCTATGCCCACTGCCAGATGAAAGATGTCTCTTAATGCCAGAGATTTGTGAAAAGTAAAGGAAATGTTTAAAGCTATATAGACTTAAAGTAGTAACCTAATGTCTTTAAAATATTAAAGTCCTTTAGGATACCCACAGATGCACACAGTCCTTCCTTCTCCCTCTGCCCTAACCTGGGGTGCTGTATCTCAGGAAAAGAAGTAGAAGTCCATGATTCAGGCTGGAATGATCCTGGCACCATCAGCTGTGTTGCCGCCAGGATCTCCAGCTAATCCAAAGCCATGTGGCACTCTCATGGCCCACCAGCCAAATTCCTTTCACCCCTTTTATTCCAGGCAAAGTCTGTCCTGCTTCCTAAGCCATGTGACCAAAGGGAGCACCCCAAAGCTACATGGTCCTCACTCTGGCAAAACCGAATGGTTCTCTCTGGCATGGCTGCCAAGTCTGGGTTTAAATACCCATGGCAACCTTCCTCTGGACCCCCATTTCTAACTCCTCTTACAATCAGTTACCTGCCAGCATTTCTGTATTATTCCAAGTTTACTGGGCTGCCATCATGAGACTGGGCAGGTGTGGCCCCATGTCATGAAGCCAATCTTCTCCAAGCTCTCACACAGGTGCTGTAACCAGGGGCAGCTGCCCCCCAGTTACATCTTAGGTGGAAGTCACCTCCATCCCCCTGGCTCAAGGCATGGCCACAGCTATTTAACATATCTATGCAACCAGTTAAAGGTTATAGATATGTTAAATGACCATGCCAGCATGCAAAGCTATTGCTGTAAAAAACAGCTCTGCATGTTCCTGCTCCGTGTCCCTTCCCTGAACTCACACCTGTTGGGAAGAGGGGTGAGGACATCATATGTATCTTTCTAATATTTCCTGGACACCTTGAGTTCTGGACCCTATTCCAAATCCCTATTTGGGGCCCTCTCTTGGCTGCACCCTGTTACGCGGTGAGGTAGGTGGGAGCAGAGCCCACTTCCCCCTGTGCACAGCTGGAACACCTAGCTGATCTTATGAGGAACAGACTGAACAGCCAACAGAATACCAGCATATATGAAGGTTAGAGGCCAAAATTGTAGAGGACATTGACAAATAGATGGTAAGGAGATTACATTGGGACGGTAAGGTCCCTGGGACCAGAGCAGGAACCAGGGATGCTGCAGCCCCTGGCCTGGTACCTGCAGCAAGATCCTTGGATGAAAGCAAAATTAACAGCTCCCTCCCCTGCCAAACAGGGAGGATAGAGCTGCACAAGAATGGACCTGGATGCTTAAGTCACTGTGGGGAATAGAGACGAAGTGGGAGACACACAGAGGCGGTGTTTACCTGCTGAGACTTTGGACACTGGCTGGGTCATTGCCAGAGAAA